CCCTCCCAGTCCAAACCAGTAACCCCAACGCCCCATTTCCCCCCATTTTTAACCCTTTATTCCCCATATTCCCCCCCTTTTTCCCCCATTTTCCCCCCCTTTCCCCCCACCAGTACAAACCAGTCCAAACCAGTACAAACCAGTCCAAACCAGTATAACCCAGTTCCCTCCCAGTCCAAACCAGTCCAAACCAGTACAAACCAGTATAACCCAGTTCCCTCCCAGTCCAAACCAGTAACCCCAACTCCCCATTTCCCCCCATTTTAACCCTTTATTCCCCATTTTTAACCCTTTATTTCCCCCATTTCCCCCCCTTTTTCCCCCCTTTCCCCCCTCCCAGTCCAAACCAGTCCAAACCAGTATAAACCAGTACGGCCCAGTACCACACGGAGTCGGTGTTGAGGCGCTCCAGGGGCCGCATGGCCTCGTCCAGGTAGATGTCGGTGGTCAGCGACGTGTCGGTGTCGTGGGCCGAGTTGTAGTTGGTGACCGTGCGGGTGGGCAGGCCCAGGCAGCGCAGCACTGACCAGTACGGACCAGTATGGACCAGTAAGGACCGGTATGGACCAGTAAGGACCAGTATAAACCGGTACGGACCAGTATAAACCAGTATGGACCAGTATGAACCAGTAAGGACCGGTATGGACCAGTACGGACCAGTATGGACCAGTATGGACCGGTATAAACCAGTATGGACCAGTATGGACCAGTACAAACCAGTACGGACCGGTATGGACCAGTATGGACCGGTATGGACCAGTATGGACCAGTATGGACTGGTAAGGACCAGTAAGGGCTGGTTTGGACCAGTACGGACCAGTATAAACCAGTATGGACCAGTATGGACCAGTATGGACCAGTACAGGCTGGTTTGGACCAGTACAAACCGGTAAGGACCAGTATGGACCGGTACGGACCAGTATAAACTGGTATGGACCAGTACAGACCAGTATGGACCAGTACGGACCGGTACGGACCGGTATGGACCAGTATGGACCAGTACGGACCGGTACGGACCGGTACGGACCAGTATAAACCAGTATGGACCAGTATAAACCAGTACGGACCAGTATAAACCCGTATGGACCAGTATGAACCAGTAAGGACCAGTATAAACCAGTACGGACCAGTATAAACCAGTACGGACCAGTATAAACCCGTATGGACCAGTATGGACCAGTATGGACTAGTATGGACCAGTATATGGCAATATAAGTCGGTTTAAAGTGGTTTAAGTCACTAGAAACCAGTCCAGACCAGTCCAAACCAGTCCAGACCAGTCCAAACCAGTAACCCCAAATCCCCTTTTAACCCTTTCTCCTCCATTTTTAACCCTTTCTTCCCCATTTTTTCTGCATTTTTCACCATTTTTCCGCCTTTTCCCCCGGTTCCTTCTCCCTCCCTCCCCTCCCAGTCCAAACCAGTCCAAACCAGTAACGCCAAACCCCATTTTTAACCCTTTCTCCTCCATTTTTAACCCTTTCTCCTCCATTTTTAACCCTTTCT